TCACACTGTGGAAGCTGGTTCCAGTAGTTCAGCTTGCTATCATTAGCACTGATTCCGATTATGATGTTGCTGAGTTATCAGCAGCTCCTGCACACTCGCTGTTGTGTTCGTCCTGCATTATCGAAAGGAGGGAATGTAGCTAGCGTTTGCTGACTATTTTTGATGGGTCGTGGATTTCACGATTCTGTTGCTACTGACGGTGAAGCGATGAACAATCTGAAAAGGTCTGAGGCTGGTGTAGTGGATCAACCAGTGTGATTTAATTATTTTATGCCAAAAGGGAAGAATATCTCACTTTGTGTCCCCTGAGAGAAAGGTGAGATTGGTTATTTTACCCAAGGGGGGCCTCCTCCCAAGATTTGGCCTTTGTGACCTGCACAGGCTCAGCTTTGGGGTGTAGAAATACACCTGCACAAGCTCAAACAGACATAAAGACTACAAACTGTGTATTCTGAGAGACACCCTGACCATAAGGTATCATAGGTGTCACCCCGACGCTCCCCAGGATGAGCCGAATGGCAGGGTAACCATGGCAACCGTGCCCCCCCCCCTTTTTAATTACTCCAAAAATCAAAGAACCCCTTTCTTTCAGTCCTGGTTCTATACCCCACCAAAGAGCCATTAACACGGACTCTTAACCGGCCCCCTCCTTCTCACACAGATATGCGAAACTGATAAGAAAGACAGACACCAGAGAAGGACGCTGCCCCGAATTCCTTTGTGTGGACAAATGAATATTGTCTCCTTATAACTTGCCTATTACCTTATTTAATTAAAGAATCTTTAAGTTACTTAAAGACATGTATGAGACAAGGTCTCTCCACCTCCATTTGAGGAGTTATATTACCATGTTGCTGTTGTTGAAAAGAAAAATCTGCAAGGAAGTTAATTTTCAGTGCTCTTAACCCATTCCTCTGATGCTCCTTTCAATCCTGACTGTCTGTTTGATGTTTATACTAATGCTTTATTCCCAACACTTTGACACTTTCTTTAGAAATGATATGATAAAGAAATGTTATCCTCTGCTACTTGATTAATTTTCCAGCTCAAATTTAATGTTAAATAACTTATTTCCCCAACTCCTGAGCAAGTGATTGTTTTAAAGAAATAATCAGTTATCTTCAGTCTCCTCATGGAACCAGAGCCCAAGAGGACAAATTAAGTATTACATGCCATCTTCTGAAATGCCGCTCCTGCTGTCTAACGTATCACTCTGTACTTATTTGCTCGTAATCTGATGCCATGTTCGTGTAACTTGCTTATATTCTCTAAGTAAGAATGTGTAACAGCCAATATTATCCAGAAAATATTGAGTTATGTCTCTTTCATGTCTCTTTCATTCTGAAATCCTGAAAATGTGTTTAACTGGTAACCATTCTAATCATTACAACGATTAAGTAACTGTTTCCTTTCCTTTTTATCAAATGCTTAAAACTAAGAACGGTATAACTGTTTATGACATTTAAGGTAAGCAGTAAGGAACCAACGGCATTCTGTGGTTGAGTTGATGTCCAAATTAATCCGCCAAATTTAACCTAGTTATTATCATAACGTACGCTTGCTCCTTATGAATCAAATTTTTACCTTGAACACATCATTCTCATTGTTTACATTCTGTCTGTTTAGTCATTGTTTATTTCTTTGATGTATATTTAAACGTATATTTACGCCTTCGATATGACATTGACTGACTGATTACACTGATTCAAGATAATTAAACAATTACTAGTAACTGATCACTAGGAAATAATTGTATAATTATTCAGCTATACTTGAAGTTCCTATAGCCTTAGGCGGACAGCAAATCTTTAGGTTGTGCCCTTAATGAGGATTTATGAATTAATATTTCGAATATTAATATTCATAATTTGTATTAAAAAGTAAAGTAGGTATGCTACACTGGTTAGCACTTCCACAGTAACAGAGCCCAGTTAGAACACTACCTTGTTAATCTCAGGGCAGACATATAGTCAGAGCCTCAGAGTCACTTAGCTAATGCTAAGCTAACTTAGTTTGTTACTGCTGTCTGAGGCCACTTCCACAGGTCACTCTCCCATGCCTCAGCTGGTTGTATAAGTGATATTACAACCTTTCTGTCCACACAGATGTTACACCAATTTAACCAAAGTGACAGTACCAACATCATCAGCTGGCACCAGAAAATCAGACTAAGTATAAGGGGGCAGAAAACTATATAAAACGTCTTCTTGGTAATTACGGTTTTGACCAAAGCACTGTATCATCTGTTTTTACTTTGTGCTTATTTTGCTGTGAATGCATGTTTACTTGTTGCCTTGATAAATTAATTCCCACAACAGTCTATAATAAAAATCTCCACTCAGTTGCTTTGTAATGGATATTTTTACAGAATGGATATTTTTCTGACATGGTGGCTTATGTTTGTGCATTCAACAAAAAGGGACACTTTCCAAAATACTAGAGGTTATTATTCATAGTTATGGTCAGATATGATTTACATTTATAATAATAATAATAACAGCAGAGAAATACCAACTATATAAAGATGTGGCGATGCTGATACCAGATAATTTCCAAGAAAAGAAAAGTCTACAGACACTCTATTTGCTACCATAATGTGACCACACAATACTCAGGTACACATGACCCAGAATATGCTGGAACCAGAGACCGCTGAAAAAAAGCTAAAATGACATCACTTTCAGGAGAAGGGGCACTTTGTGAAGAAATTATGCAGTGGTTTTTGGTTTAGTATTGTTTCCTGTTTTATCTTGTTAATCCCTTCCTCTTTTGTCTGTGTTTAAATCACTTCAGGTGAAGACATGAAGACATCGTCATTAACTACAGGTGGATCTCATTATATTAGAATATTGTGGAAAAGTTCATTTATTCACATAATTTTATTCAAAAAGTGAAACTAGTCTAGATTCATTAAAGTGAAATATTTCAGGCCTTTTTTTGATTTTATCTTGATGATTACTTTTAAAGCTCATGGAAATCAAAAATCTATATCTCAAACATGAGAATAAAGAATGTATAATAATGAAATGTTGACCTTCTGAAAAGTTGAAAAGTTTCATTTATACACTCTACTACTACTTGGTCGAGAAGTTCTTGAATGGGCTTTGCTTGACAATCACTTTTTCCTACCACACTTTAACCTTCCAGTCAACTTTCCATGAACATGCTTTGATCCAGCACTCTGTGAATAGCCAGCCCGCCCAGCAGCGACTTTCTGTGGCTAATTTTCATGGATATTCCAATTTTATTAGTAGCACAAAGAATCTTTAACAAGAGAAGAGAGCACGGGTGCTGCTTCATCTGCATTCTCTTGATCTGAGATGACCTAAGTGAATATTTCCAGAGAAAACAACAACACAAAAGAGCAAACATTTGCACAAAAGAAATTGTGATGTAATGCTCAATTTATAAATTTTTTCCTAGGTAGTCTCTGCCTACTGTAATTCTAGCTCTCTATTCAAATCAAAAGTTATGTAACTCAAACTGCAGTCATAAATGCTCCATGAGGCCTTGATTACAGGGCAAATGTAATTGGTATTATTTTTAGATGAATAGAAGTCTGTGTGTTCAGGAGAGCATGCTTGGGAATTTGCCTGTGAGCTTGTATATGAACGTCAGCCTCTTTGGGGATTTGAATAGACGACAGTTGTGGCAAAGTAGCGGCATGTAATCCCTTTGCTCTCATGGAGTCCAGCTGTGCCCGAATAATACTTCAACAGGCAGTCGGACAACTGAAGCTGGAGGGTCAGAGGTGAAGCTGTCAGCTTTTTAATGTGTTATGCGTTGTGTGGAGGAGCTGGTGGAGCCACAAGGACTTCTTATACATCTTCTAAAAGCCCTGGGGGATTACCTCTTCACAGGATTAGATTTCTTTGGCTGTTGAAATACCCAGACCTATTCTGCAGAGGACGGACAGAGAAGAGGGGATCAGGACCACAGCTCCCAGTGGGACCAGTAAAAAAGTACAGCTGAAGCAGTTCAGATCAACCTTATTGTCACATATACAATTATACAGTACAGCACATGCAAAATCTGTTCTCTGCATTCATCCCGTCCTAATTAGGAGCAGTGGGCAGCCACTGTGCAACGCCCAGGGACCACTGGCAGATCTGGGCCAGTTCCTTGGTCAAGGGCACTGACTGGAGAAATTAACCTAAATATGCATGTTTAATGGTGGGGGAAACCGGAGCACCCAGAGGAATTACACATAAACATGGGGAGAACACACAAACTCCACACAGAAAGGTTCTTTGCCCAGCCGGGAATCGAACTCAGGCTAACCACTGACCCACCGTGCTGTCGGCAGAAGACAGCAGAGATAAGATCCTCTGGTTTTGGTCAGCAGGATAATGTCATTTGGTAACATTTTAGATTCCAGCCCACAGTGTACAGTGGAATGCTTTGCTAAGTTACAGTGTAGTTATTTGTACTGCAGCGCACAGTACATACTGACGTTTACCAGCAAGCGGACAGGATGTGTAGTTAGAAAATAATAAGAGTAATAATTCTAATATTACAGGGTACTGTTTGATCTACTGAGCAAGTGGACTTGTCAATCACAGATAACCCCGCCCTGAAGCATCCTCTGCTTTATAGTCTATTTTCCTCTAAATGGGACCATAATTTACTAAGTGAACATCATGTTGTATTGAAGAAGACTTGAAACTAGCGATTGAGACAATAAACTCATTTTGGAAGTGTTTACTGAGGTAATAAATCAGATGAGAAGTAGCCTCATTTTACCATTATTTCTAATGGAACGGATGTCTTTTTGCAACCAGAAGAGTCGCCCCTGCTGGCCGTTCGATACAATGCAGGATTAAGGGACTTCCGCATTGGCCTCAGTTCTCTGACCGGAAGCTTCCCGCTTGGTTACACAGCATGCTGTTCATTGTTGTTATGGAGTACCTTCCAGTCATACAGTTGAGGCAGGTGTAGAAGATGATTGACTTGATGTCACAGTGTAACTGACATGGACTATAAGGGACACAAACTCTACAGTCATTTAAAAACTTTATAAAGAGTCACTGCACAAAATCAAAATATAATACGACAAGCTGCCGGTCATTTCATAACTTTCATACTCTGCATGTCTCCACTCAGACAAGGTCGGCAGCCATCCAGGATCTTCCTCCGCTCCTCAAGACGGGTCATTGGATTGGTAAAACAGTGATAACTAAGTGATAGCCAATGCAACATCAAAAAAGGCAAAATACCAGATCAGCACTAATCAATTTTAAAAGTGCACACATCATCAAACATATCAGAAATAGCCAATGAATAACATTTCAAAGATCATTAGAAAAAAATTTAATAAATCTGAATACAGACATAATATAATATACATAGTCCATGATAACTGAAAGAAATCTATCTAGAAAAATACCCAGATCACTAAATCTTTAATCAACTACAGAAAACAGGATAAAAAATGCTCTCTCCAACAACAGGAGTAAGAATCAAAGATTTATCAAAATATATAAAAAAGTACAGAAAGAGATTATGCACAGGATCAAAATACAAAACAGTTCATGAATACAAGACAATGTAAGGAGAGCATTACTTGGACTCCCGGTGGTCCTGAACACAAAGCACACATTAACCCAGAGAAATACCCCAAATTCTTTATTTTCCAATCATGATTTCTGTATGACACCTAAAGACTAAGCAGCAGGTTAGTCCTGCATCACGGAGAGTCCCTGCACAGTGACACACAGGGCCAACAGCAGCACTCCTGGTTTGTTTCCTGCCACCATCCCCAGCTCAAACTGCTCTCTCAGGTAATCTTCAGAGGAACAGAGGAACACAGTGAGCCAGTGGAGCTCCCCTCCATCCTGCAGAGGAGCAGGCAGAGACTCAGGCACATGAGCCTGACCACGCTCCTTCAGGCTGCTCACCTGCACCACAAAACAAGACAGCAAGTCGATACGCCGCAGTGGGGCTCTGAGGAAATGCTTTCCCTTTAAATGCGGTGATGTGGATACCAGAGCCCGACAAATAGGAGATTTTTCAGACTGATACCAATTTTTTATCCTAATCCCCTACATCCATCCAGTATGCCATTTTTTTCAAAGATACACTATCAAACATGGATGGGTACAGGAGCAGTCTAGTGGGTGGCACATTTTTAGGATGTTGCTCATAATTTTAACAAGAAGACGTCCCCAAGCAACACAATAGACCTCAGATTTGTGATATCAGATAAATGATGTGAAACGCTCACAAAGAAACTTTTGAGGACATCCGTAATCTTATGACAGAATAAGTAAGTTCTCACAAAGAAGGATGTGAGTGAAGACTACCTCTCGAATACTGACATTTTTGTGTTTTATTAATCAGAATGAGCTTAATTGTAAAGTAATTAGTGTACATATACAAGGAATTTGCTTTGATGGCTGACTTTGACTTGGTGCATGACAAACATAAACTTCTATAATTCCAAGATGCAAAATGTAAAAGAATAAAAAAGACTATGTTTAATATCCCAGTTGTTTACATGTGTATCACATTTGTATGTGCAAACATTTTCAGTTTAAGCTGAATAACAAAGTAGGAAGAGTGTTAACTTATTAACTTAACTTACTTACTGATAAATTTACCCTCCAGCTGTTTATGCATAAGACCGAAGTTTCAGGGAACTTGGGATCGTTTTGTTTAAGCCAGCTAAATATCATATACATTTAGTATACATTTAGTAAGCTTTGAATATAGTATAACTCGTTTATGATTTCTGTAACACTCAATGTTTGGACAGGCAAAATGTGTTTGCGTGCACATTTGTGCCTTGGGACTCTGGCCTGAAATGAACTTTTAGGTGCTTAGATTTGAAAAACAGTGCAGCTAACAGTTTAGGAAAAAGAACAAAATAAAAATGCTGATGCCAAGAAGACAGGATGTAGGCCTAAGGGAGGTTAACCAGAGTTGACAGAAAGGTTATAGGTTAACTTAAACATTTAAATAAGACAAGAATGTTTCTACATGTATTTATTCAGAAGAAATGTAAGGATTAAGGATTCTCTCTATTTAGATGGACAGGTTGCATGTTTAAACAAATGTGCTGGACAAAGGACAATTCTAGGAAATTGGTCACTCAGGAAATTCCAGGCGTGCAGCCAGTACAAAAAGGCATGATTATATAAAGAGTTGATTTATCACTAAGTGTGGACAGTTGTTGGGAAACTTCTATTTGAGCCAAAAAGTGACGGGGTAAATTTGAGCCGTGTGCATTGATTTGGGTGTAAAATGAAGTGAGGAGAGAAAGGGGTCTTCTCTTGAGCAGTCAGAGAGAAGTCTATTCAGTCCGCCAGGAACTGAGGTAATAGCCTATAGATAGGTTAAATTGCCCCAGAAGCAACATCTTTAAGGCAATATTGATTGATATCTGATTTTGGTTACAGTTATCTTTTTTCATACCAAACTTGTTATTATTGTTCAATTTACTGATTCTTAAGCTTTTTGTAATCCATACTAATTTTTTATTCCTGTAAATAAATTATTGTAAGACTTCAGTCTCTATGGTAATTTTCTGATTTATATTTCCATGAGGGAAAATCCACAACATAAAATTCACAACAGGATTTTAAAATCCCCAGATCCAAGATGTAATGGTACAATGACGCTAATGTGCAAAATGACAATTGTTGAATACAAAATGTTGCATTTTAGAGTCTTTGTGTGGTTACAACGCAAATCTTTTTTTATTTTAGCTACTTTGACAAAAAATGTGGTTGTACATGTGAAAGTGTTCAAACTACACTTGTTAGCGTGATCTACGAGTTCACTCACTGATTTCAGAAGAAGGGATTGAGGCATGTTGAAAACAGTCCCCTTTTTCCAGAAAAAACGCCTAAAATTACATACCCAAAATGAATCAGGAATAACTCCTCAACCATTTGGCCTAGATGCATAATTCTGGTCTCAGTCAGAAGCTAAGGAATATAAATCCATTGTGTATTAGTATATTTATTTTACTTTTACAGACAACATGGAGATGCAATAAAGAAAAAATCAGAATTTTTTAGCCTCGCCTGGTAAAAAAAGCTATATTTTAATGCAATAAACCATCAAAACCATCCTGAGGAAGGAACTGAATATCTTCTAATACACCTAGAATGCAATTGTAACTGTAAATCTGATGAAAATAAACTAAAATACAACAGTTATCATACAACATTTTCAAATATACCAGGCGAATTTCCATATTTTGGCAATATTTATTTTGGCAATATTTCATAATAAAATGCTGACTTTTATTGATAGATATCTTTAAAACACTTTTTCAGTCCATACAGCCAATTTCCAAATGACAAAACATTGAAATATTGATAAAAACAGGAGTATTCATCAACATTCCTGTCACCAAAAGCACTCCCACGCTTGATACCCTTGATTTGATGCATGTCTGTATATCTCCAACGGATCGGCCACAAAATGGCAAAAAACACCGTATGTTCTCAAGCGGCATGTTTCCTCTGCAGAAAAGACTAAGCGCCCGCTTAGACTCGGAGCAACAACATCGGCGGGTTTCGGAGTTGATGATGTTTGATTTGCTCAGTTGGAAAAGCAGACACTCAACTAGAAGGTTGTGTGTTTGATCCCATGTCGGGAGAATATTTTTTTTTACTTCTTCAACAAATTGATCATGAAACAACTGTTTCACATGCTCACAACAAAGCATGTGCTGCAGCGTTTGTGTTCCGATGTTTGATCCCCATCCATCAACCTATGAATGCTTTTTCATTTCCCCAGTATCTCCAGGCAGAGGGCATTTAGGGGAATCACATTTTCTGACGGCTCTGTCAGAGGTGTGTCAAGCAGGCTAAAGACTCTTTCAATGTCAGTCAGCTCTCAATTCAACTAAAAACTACTGGACAATATGCCACCAAAAAACGCTAAAACTGGCCAACAACCGGGTAAAACGGCTTCACAAGGCAAAGGGGCTAATGTGGACATGGCTAATGCTAACAAAACACCGCTGGATATTCCCAATGAAGCCAATACACGGGAGGCACCTGAGACTCCAGAGGCACCTGAAACACCAGTGGACGCCGGTGGCACCGAATCCGACAAACAGTGACCTTCTCAAGGAAATTCTGTCGTTGAAAGGTGACATGGCCAAACAATCTACCGACATGCTGAAAGCAATTAATGATATAAAAGGGGATATACAGTTACACTCTCAAAGAATCAACGAGACGGAGGAGCGAATCGCACAAACAGAAGATGATGTAACTTCTCTTCAAGGCAAAGTTAAAATACTGGAGAAAAGAGCAAGAAGACAGGAGCAGACGCTCCAATTTGAGACTGGTTGTCAGAGGGCTCAGATCTGTGTGGTTTTCTGGAGAAGTGGCTCAGAGATACACTAGGTGAAGGTTTCACCTCGCCCCCCATCATAGAGAGAGCACACAGGATCGGGCCTATTAACCCTAAATCTACATCGCCACGGGTGGTAATAATGAAGTTTCTGAACTACCGGGACCAGGAAGCAACCCTGAGAACCGCCAGGAAGATGACAGCGGTACGCTATGAGAATGAACGAGTCGCCTTTTTCCCTGACCTCTCCGTGGAGACAAGTAAACTGCAGCAGCTCTTCAACGGTGTGAAAACCCAGCTTCGTGCACTGAGTGTTCGGTATGGCATGCTGTATCCAGCCCATCTGATCATCACGCACAATGACAAACGCAGGATTTTTAAATCGGTTGCTGAGGCTGAAGAATACATTCAGGAAATAGGCTCGCAGACTTTTGACGACTCCGAGACTTAAAGCTTTGTGCTCACCGCTTCTTTCTTTTCTCCTGCATGGAGCCACTGATGAGTAATGGCCATGAAAAAGAACAAAATTCAACGGATAATTTAGTAAGTTTCCATTTTGTAAAAATACGTTACGGGCATGATTGTCTTAAGATATGTTTCTTTTATTTGTTGTATAACTCATGTAGATTTTTTATTTATCGCGCACTGGGTGCACATTTATGTCCTTCAAGTTTCATTATGGTCCAAACATTTCTACTACAGCTAGCCCATGTGTGGCTATGTTATGTGTGCAGATTTACACGTTACCCACTATGTGGATGAAACGTTTTATATAACCCAAGTTCCTAGTCTTAAAGGGTTTAGCATCACATTTCGTTTGTGGAAATGTGTGGGGTTTTGTGATAAGGGGCTCACTCCATATTCTTTGTGTTTGATGACTGAAATTGTGATTAAGAAGGGGACAACCCTTTTTTTTTTTTTTTCCTTTTTTAATATTTTCTATTATATAATTTATGTTTGATACCTCAGTTATAAATGTGTCTAGTTGGAATGTAAGAGGTCTGAACAAAATTGTCAAGCTTAAACAGGTGCTGGGCAGAATTAAACAAATGAAGAGTAAAGTGTGTTTCTTACAAGAGAGTGGTAGATGAAGATAATAATAATAATAATAATAAGAAGAAGATTAGATCCAGGTGGCCTGGTCAGGTATTCTCCTCTAGTTTTACGACTTATGCAAGAGGGGTCATAATATTGATTCATAAATCAGTTCCCTTTGATCTAAAAGATAAATATTTGGATCCATCTGGGAGATTTATTATACTTAGTGGAACTATAATCTCTACATTAGTTAACTTGGTATGTTTATAAGCCCCCAATGGGGATGATCCTGCCTTTTACCAACATTTCTTTTTAACTATGTCAGCTTATAGTGGCCAGTTCATCATCGGAGGAGATTTTAATTGTGTGATACATCCTGCAGTAGACCGTTCAAATAGCTCCGACACTTCCCACCAACAAGCCAGGAAAACGATTGGAAAATTTATGAATGATCTTAATTTAGTGGAGATTTGGAGACAACTTTATCCGAGCAAGACTGAGTATTCATGTTTTTCTGCTACCTACAAAACATATTCTCGGATAGATTTCTTTTTGGTGTCCTCTGGTCTGGTATCTATGACTCAGAATTGCTGGTATAAGACTATACTACTCTCTGACCACGCCCCAATTATCTTATCAATAAAGTTTCCCAATTATTATTCATCTCCACTTCCATTTCGGTTTCAAGCTAAATGGCTGAAGTCCGCAGAATTTGAGGAATTTCTTGAAGAAAAAATAACGGAATATTTTAATTTTAATAAAGACCAGACCAGTGCATCAATAAAATGGGAAGCATTTAAAGCTTATATAAGGGGGGAAATAATGAGCTACACTCGGCATAAATCTAAAATACATCTAAATATATTGAAAGACATTGACAAGCAAATAAAGGAACTGCAGGACCAGCTGTATTACTGTGATGACACTGAAATATATAAAGTATAAAAAGCTTCTCCTGTTAAAATCTGAATATAATGAACTCACTACCAATAAAATAGCAACTAGTTTACTGTGTCATACTATGATCAGGGTGAGAAGGCAGGAAAACTCCTGGCTTGGAGGCTTAAAAAAATACAGACAAGTAGGGCTATTAATTCAATTGTACTTGACAATGGAGAGAATTTAGTGGATCCAAAATGTATAAATGATGCTTTTGCAGAATATTATGAAAATTTATATAAATCCCAATATCCAGATAATATGGATAAACAGGATCAGTTTCTGGACCAACTTCAATTCCCAACCTTGTCAGAGGAAACTAAAAATGATCTAGATGGAAAACTGAGCATTCAAGAACTTAAGGAGGCACTCACCCATATGAATACAGGCAAAGCCCCTGGCCCTGATGGCCTGCCTATTGAGCTTTATAAGAGATTTTCAGATAAATTATTACCTCATCTACTTGAAATGTATAATGAGTCCTATGAGAAGGGCATTCTACCCCCATCCTTAAGATTGGCAACCATTTCACTGTTAAAACCAGGTAAAGCTCCGACAGATATGGGCTCATACAGGCCTATATCCTTGATGTCATGTGACACCAAAATACTATGCAAGGCTCTAGCTCGGAGGATTGAATCACATATCACGCCTTTCTGTCATTAGATGCCGAAAAGGCATTTGACAGGATCGAATGGTGTTATCTTTTTGCGACACTCAAAAGATTTGGCTTAGGAGAAAAATATTTGAAATGGATTCAATTACTATATACAGAGCCCATAGCCAAAGTTATAACAAACAGCCAGTTATCGAGACCTTTTAGCCTATGTAGATCGACACGACAAGGATGCCCATTATCGCCCCTTCTTTTCTTGTTTGCTATCAAGCCACTTGCTATGGCAATACGTAATTCCCCTGATATTACTGGTATTCAAATCGGAGGAACAGAAGATCGCTTGTCTCTTTTCGCAGATGACGTCGTTTTGTTTTTAACTGATCTAGGGAGGTCTGTCCAGGCTGTCCCTGTTAATGCTGAACAAAAATAACCCTAAAATACAAACACAATTTACACGTACCTATGAAGGCTTCATATACCTGGGAATTAAAATAAATCCTGACATAAAGAAAACTGTATCTATTAATTATGACCCCTTAGTAAAAAATGTATTGGATTCCTTAGAAAGATGGGGTCGGATGCCAATTTCTATGATAGGTCGCATTAATATTATTAAAATGTCCATTCTCCCAAAATGCTTATATCTTTTCCAGTCCATCCCCTTACACATTCCAGCCTCCTTCTTTTCCTCCTTGAATAAAACCTTTACCAAATTTATATGGAATAGTAAACGCCCCAGGTTGCGACTGTCCCTTCTATATCTGCCATATGACCGAGGGGGGCTTAGATTGCCTAATGTCAAGTTGTACTATTGGGCAGCTCAACTTTATGCTGCTACTTATTATTTTTCTACCACTGATACACCATCCTGGATACACATTGAGAACAATACATTGAAGCTACCTTTGACATCTTATCTTTATGCATTTATTTATTAAATATATTTATTAAATTAAACAAAAATACAATATCAATCTGGCACCAATCTCATTATGCCTTGTCGGAGGTATCTAAGCTCTCATGTTTGTCGCCAATTTGGGGAAATGATAGATTTAAACCAGGAAGAGCAGACATGGGGTTTAGAATTTGGCTGAATAATGGCTTGAATAAAATTGGGGACCGATATAGTGAAGGACTATTGTTGTCTTTTGAGCAATTGGGAAATAAATATGGCTTGCCCAAAAAACACTTTTTTAAGTACATACAGGTTAGACGTTTCATCACTACCCAACTAAAATCTACTGTGAAACTCCCACTCTCCACTATAGAGAACATAGCCGTTAACCATCATCACAGTAGAGGCCTGCTTTCCAAATTTTACAACATTTTACTACTTTCCTCAAAAGAAAGTAGTCTTTCATATTTACAAGCATGGAAAACTGATTTACAAACAGAAATTTCAGATGATAAGTGGAACAATTCTTGCCTGTTGGCACAGACGCAAACTATTAACACTAGGTTTAGATTGCTGCAGTATAAATGGTTATTTAGAACCTATACTACTCCTGTAAAACTTCACCATTTTAATTCCAATATACCTGATGTCTGTGTAAAATGTGTGGTATAAGGGAACTGTTCTTTATTGTATGTGGCAACTTCAGATTTTTTGGAAGGAGGTTATTACATTTATTTCCCGTTTGATTGAATGTAACATGCCAATGGATGATAAACTCTGCTTTTACTGCACATTTTTCCTAATGGTTTTAAAATTCAATAAAACTATATATTTTATATAAAAACTTTTAAAAAGCATTGCTGCAAAAAAAGTTCTCACGCTTTTATTTTGTAGGCAAAATCACTAAGGAGGGAGTGATTATGTAACTGTTGCTGCCATGGCTGAGATCTATTTCAAAGGATTTATTTTATTTTTATTTTTTGCCGCGATCAAAGCACCATAATCTTGCTGCGGGCCAGATATTATTGCTGGCGGGCAGTTTTGGCGAGGGTTCATAATCACAGAGAAAACGAATGTGTTTCCCTTGTCCATGTTGGTATAAACTTTATATATTATGTGTTTTATAAAGGACTGTGGTGCAGAAACAGTGACAGTGTTTCACACTCTTGGCTTACATTTTCCACGTTATCTGTCAGTGGCCAAGTCACAATAACATATGGTTTTACTGAATAATTAATAAAAATATAATTTCTTAATACATCTACTTAAAGAAACCTCATTCCTCGACTGACTACTCTCTGCTGTCTCAGATGACGACATCTTTTGTCCTGTGTCAGCCACCATAGCTATCCTACGCTCTTTGAAGTGTGTGTGTGTGTGTGTGTGTGGGAGCAGTAGACTAGACAGTTGGTTGCAAATCGAAACCTCACCGCTAGATGCCACTAAATCTTACACACTGAACCTTTAATTGACTGGGACACTGAGATTCCCGATTTGCACCTGCTAGTAAACCAGTGGACTTACCAGTTGGTTCAGGCCTTTCAGTGTGTCAGGATGGCAGTTGCCTATGAGCGAAGGCACACTCTCTGGTAGTTCTGTGTAAAAAAAACAGAAACTGTTGGCGCATGTGGGCTGAATCAGACAAAATGTCAGACTGCTGCTGCTTATTTTCCGCAAAGCAGTAAAGATCGAACTCTGTTCATGACAGCGCAGCTTCCAAGGTAAACAGACAATTTTCACACCACAACCAATCACAGTACAGAACCGTGTCTGTGTACACTGCAGCATAACATGTGAGAACACACAAACTTTGATTTTGTATGAAAAATACAAATACAAGAATACACCTTCCACACCCAGTAAGAGACAACATGCACACAGCAAGGCAATAAGACACACAGTATACAGCTGACTCACTGTCCATCGCGCTGACCAGCATGTCAACAGCTTCCAGAATAACGTCAGTGTTTTCAGACTTGGTGAGCAGACGCAGCACTGAACAGTCAGACCAGGACTGTGGCTGCTTTGACCGCTCACCTTCACGCCACTGATCCAGCTGAGGGAGACAAAAAGACTTTTTAATCATTCCTACGTGATGACACTTTCAAATATTATTTAACAAAGAAAAAAATGACTGTCTATTTTCAGTTTCGCTCTAAAAAGTTTCAGATCTGAGGGATTGATTTAATAATCAGTCATTGAATCCAAAGCGACTTTCAATTGCTAAGTGTGTCAGAGGTCGCACGCCTCTGGAGCAACTAGGGGTTAAGTGTGGATATGTCACAGTGGTGATCAAACCACATACCACAGGCATGTTTCTTATCCACTTCTCCATCGCCACAAACTAAAACCCTTCCACACATTCCCTTTCTCTTTTCTTGGCTATTTCAAAAACCATTATTTAAAAAGCGACATAAGAAAGAAATACCTTTTTCTTTAGAAGAGCCAGAGCGTCCCTGTCTTCTGGGAGCTGACTGAGGCTCTTGGACAGAGCAAAGCGAGTCTCCTGGGGAAGCTGAGCCAGCGGCTGTAAAACAGCGTCTGTCCTCAGTAACTCTACAGAAGCAGTAACAGTGCTTTCATTAGCTACTGCACCACAGTTTACACAGTCAGTGCCACTTGCATTTTATGCTTTTGGGGTTATCATTTCCACCAAAATGACAGAATTTGCAAAGGCCTGTCTGAGGGAATGACAAATACACTCACAAACACACACTCAAACCTTCTTGCACTTGTTGCATGGTCTCAAAGGTTTTCTCAGTACAGTTGTCAGGTTCAAATGTATCAGATGCCAGGGCTGCTTCGGTTGCTAGTTTAAACACACACAGAGACACACTTCTGAAAAAGTGGCAGTTAAAATGCAATTACTCAATAATTAAACATAATAACATACTAATAATAATAATTTAACATTAAATGGCAGTTAAAACGTTGCTCTTAACATCATGTCACCAAAATGACTGAATAAGCAGGGGCATGTCTGGAGGGAATCAAAGTCTGCACAAATTTAAGACACACTCATACCCTCAAGTGTCTCCGCAGTACAGTTGTCAGATTCAAATGCGTCTGGTCCCAGGAATATTTTTTTGGCAGCTAGTTTAAACACAAATGCACAGACAGAGATAAGAAACGGCTACACTTTCTGATAAAAAAATTGCAGTTGAAACACTTGAAGTAGTTGATGTTTTGAAAAAGTGGAAGAGGCAGTTCAAACATAATTACTAAAAGATTAAACAGCAGTTAAATTGGAAAGGCTGAAAGAAGTTGATGCTGTGTTTTAAGTGTAAGCACTGAAAATAGTGATAAAAGTGTAAGAGAGAGATCGAGCTGAAAGGGTCTTCCGAAGCACAAGTCCTGAAAGGAGTTTACGTGTCAATGGAAGTACACTGAATGCAGATGAAGTAATTGGGCACGCCCTGTGGAAGCTGTGTGAGTTTGAAGAGGTGAAGAAGATTGCTATTGTTTAGAGGTGAAGAAGAGATGTGAGACCTGAGAGGGCTTTAACTGTGAGTTAAAGAGTAAGCAGTAAAAGCACTGAGGTGTCACATAATCACTGAAACTAGATGAACAGGCAGTTATGGAATCAGAGAAGAAATCAGTGAAACTGCCGACATTTAAACACTGAAAACAGAAAGAAGAGAAAGTGTTTCTAAATGTTTCTTTTGGATGGAGGATGATGGGTTGCATTCCCAATGTGCACAGTGACTCTTGTGAGTCATTTTAAAGAATGAAAGACAAGTAAATCTCAGAATTAATAAATTGGCATCCAATCAATATCTTACAATTACAGATGCAGGTGATTTGTTTCTTACCAATCTCTTCATCATTAAATTTGATCTCTTTGAGGCTGTACGCATAAACCTGGCCTGCTGGGACAGTAAAAGAGCTCTCTGTCTTCTTGTTGCCCTAATTAAACAATAAATACCACAGGTAAACACACAGGCGTAGAAAGACATTCTGTTGTTAACACTGTCTAACCAACTTAACCTTAAACGTTTTTCCAGTAAACATGTCAACTGTCATTCTTAGATCACATTTTAGCTTTTCGTCTTATTGGTAATTGTGTTATTTTTCTTTGTTTTTCTACTGATTTGAGACACAACATTTCTTTATGTATTCTCTTTAAATGGATAAAATGAACCACTGCCCTACTGCCACGGGAAGCAAGCAAAGTTTAATTATATAGAACCTTTCACACCAGTAAAAAAGTGCTTCACAGTGAAAAAAACAAAATCAAATAGAATCAAATAATTCAAGCTGAGATAAAATACCATTGAATATAGAAGGGGACCAGAAGACACCATTTAAAACATACAATAAGCTGCTACATGCTACCTAAACGCCTGTTTGAACAGATGGGTTTTATTTGCTTTTCATAAGTGTCCACAAAGTCCAAAGACCTCAGGCTTCGCTATTCTAAAACTTGGGGACTGCTTAGTGGAAAAAACAATCCCCAAGAAAAGCTTGTACCTGTTTAGAGGACCTAAGAGCTCAGCTCCTGGTGTGGAGGTGCAGAGGGTCTATCATATATTGTGGAACCTGGCCGTATATGGCTCTGTAAGTGAGCACTAACATTTTACAAAAATTAACAGGAAACATCTAACAGGCTTTATACAGTCTGAAACAGTGGTTCTTAAGGACCCCCCCCCACCCTGAGGGAGAAGACTGGGGCTAATATTGTAGATATTTTATTCAATATGTTTGTGGAGAGTAGAGGTGGAAATAAAACATCCCTTTGCTGATTCAAATCACTTCTTCAGTTCAAACATTTGCATCACCATTCAAAGGCAATTCATTGTGTACAACAGTAAGTGAACACATCACGGTTCAAAGGCACTTCAGTGCTTATAATGTAAAGGCTCTGCCATACTGAGTTGCTGCCGTCACTACAGTCGCTTCCCCTCTAGCAAACCAATCATTGATGGTTGGCATAAAAAACATCACTACCAGTTTCATCAGTGTGGGAATGTCGCCACAGACACCTGATTTAAAATCTCTGGTATATTGCGAGTGCAGAGAGATTTACGTGGCTGTGAGAGGCTTAATCAGTATTGTGGTAAAAGTCCTGCACTCAAGCTTCAATTAATCAACCTGCCATTGTTATGACATTATCTCCATCCATCCATCGTCACCCGCTCATCTTGCATACAGGGTCGCGGAGTAATGACATTATCTCCAATATTCAAATGTATTCATCAATGCAACCCCTCCAAATGTAAAAACTAAGGCTAAGAGTAGCAAAATGGATTGAAATTTCAGCCCTCATAATTATGCAAACAGCTTCCACTGAATTGCACATATTAGAAAGACAATATACGTCATTTTCAATCATCATTTCATAGTGAACATAAGCACCTTTAAGTCCAAATTAAATTACAATAAATTTGCTGCGTTTTGCAGTCAGGTCACTCTTTTATGAAAACAATTTAACACAAAATTATTATTTGTTGCTGTAGGAAAAAGGCTTCTCCATACCATACAGGTGATTGTTTTCAAGAAACGCATATTTGTCATACTCACTGCCAGTAAGAACTTCACAAACACATTCCAACTTGCTTCACAGGAGCCGTCCACTCCAGTTTTTCCAGATAAGGTGACATCTGCTGTGTTGAAGACGATCTTATCTACAAAAGCCAGCACCTCTCCCTTCTTCAGTTTGGGTATGTAGCCAGTGTTAATCTTCCTAAAGGTGAGACAGGAAGCAGAGGGTGGGAAACAGGAGAATCTTTCTTTGGGCTTCAATGTAATTTGGTTATTGAGAAAGAAAGACATATAGATATTACAGTCAGCACATCTGGAGGGACAGAGACATGGTTTAACAAAGTGTGAAATACAATTTCACAAAAAACTTTCAGATGTCTTGCCACATCATTAGACATTAGAACTACCTGAGTTTGTCTTTGGTATAACCTGTATCAAAAGGGTTGACAAAGATGTTCTCATCAGGTCAACATTTGAATGTGTCCAATACTTTGGTTTAGGACCAAATACCTACACAACTAATGACATACAGCAGTAGGGGAGAGCGGGGTAAGTTGTGACGTTGGACGAACTCCAACACTAGAGGCTCTATCTGAAAAATCAAATGGACATTTTGTGTGACTTCTTGTTCTATGTTCAACTTCCTTTTGATACTTCAGCTGAAGAACTATGTTGGGCTAACTTTGAGATTTAGCCAACATTAGCATATGTTTCTATTTGGGGCAAGTTGTCTTCATGACTTTGGGGCGAGTCGTCACATGTGAAAACTTGCCCCCAGTACAAATAAACATGTAGTGTGTTAGTAGACACAAACACACATTACTTCATACAGTCATTAATTTAGTTAGGCAACAAAGGTAGTAGACAAATAAACCTGTATACTCAGGTAAATTCAAATGTGTTTTTAAGGAAGGAAGAAAGATCATTAGAAATTATCAACAGATGAGTACACCCCCTGACAAAATGTTAAAGGCACTCAGGCAGGTGAAGTTAAAGAACAAGTCAATCAGAAGTACAGCCAATGATTTTTACATAAATTACCTTACTCTGACTCTGTATTGTGATTTGGTAAAGCAGCTTGTTGATTATATTACTAGGTCAGCTGACTTATCTTTTGGCTTCATCTGTGTTGGATCCATTTGCAAATAGTATTCCAAAGGAGATGTGGTTTCAGTGTGTGAAATGCAACAAATGGGCCAACGATGCTCACACCTCAGGCCAGGCAATTTATGTGTGCCAGAGGTGTGACTCTGAATAGACAGATACATATGTATGTCGTACAAAAATGCACATTAGTTGCATTAGTGTTTTTAAACACCACATCTGTTTTGCTAAGAAGATATAAATTTAAGCTAGTTAACTGAAGCATTCCATTCAATTACCATAGAAACATTTGATTTTAAAGTTCAAAGAATGAGGTTGTGCCACTTAATGTGTGCTCTGCCAGCATTTTTGTTTTGAATTAAATTATTTATTTTCAATATTCTCTACTAGCTACTACTTTTTTACAATACCCCATAAGTGCATTTGACATGACCATGACGCACTGAGCAGGGAGCACCTGACCATGATCTGCATCGCGCTGCTGTGTTCGTGAAAACCCGGCCCAGAGAGAGACAGAGAGAGAGACAGAGAGAGACAGAGAGAGAGAGAGAGAGAGAGAGAGAGAGAGAGATACAGAGAGAGACAGAGAGAGAGAGAGAGAGAGAGAGAGAGAGAGATACAGAGAGAGACAGAGAGAGAGAGAGAGAGAGAGAGAGAGAGAGAGAGAGACAGAGAGAGAGAGAGAGAGAGAGAGAGAGAGACATACTGGCCACAGTATTTCTCCTTCAACTTGACAATGTCAGCTTTCTTCGCTTTAATGGAGACAGATGAGACTTTTTGTTCACTGTGTGCTTCTCCTTTGACGCCTGCTGAGTCCTTCCCAACACCTCCATGTATGTCAGCTTTCACAAGGTTCTGGCCACTGTACTGGTAATCCTTGATGACTGTTTCTTCTGGAAAGCATGGAATTTACTTCAAGTCCAGCACTGTGACTGACAGGTGTAGATTTGTTTGTGTTGTGTTGTGTGTGCGTCTGTGTACATACCTGTATACTCAGAGAATGAAGCAAATTCTGGCAGAAGATGAGCAAATGTAACATCCATCACCTCATAATCAGTGGAAAATAATGTGTTCTTCTTCTTCTTGACCAGTGTCAGGAGATCCACCTTCTTTATTAAACTTCCATGGTAGATGAAATTCGCTTCTGGGTCCACTTGATGGAGAACCTCTTTGATATACTGCTTAAACATCTCCTGTCTACACACGGATATACAGTCCTCAGTAAGTCAGTACGCACCTAGAACTTCAGAAGGAGAAAACTAATATTAATCAAATGCAAAAACTTTGTACAATGCAAAAAAACTTTATTGCACTTTTAACTACCATAATGACACAATACCCTTCCTGTAATGACAAAGATAGAAGTGGATTTCATGCCTTACCGTGCTGAATTCTGCAGCTAAAGCAAACCCTTTGACTGCAACACATCTGAAGTGCTGTGTGCTCGACAGCTCTGCAAATTTATATACAAAGCAAAATGAAAATGATAATTACATGTTGACAGGGAATACAATGGGAGTGATTACCTCACTGGAAGCTTTAAGAAACAAAGAGTTCCAACGAAGTTCCTATAAAACACAGACAAAGCACTGATAGTAGATAACAAGCACGGACTGGAAGAATTCCAGGAATAAAAACAAAGTGAAAACAACGAATCACTAAGACCTGGGCCCTGTTCCAGAAACTCTGAGTCGATGCTTCAGAGAAACAACACAGAAATCTGATTCTTCTACAGTGTTTCTGTCTGGATACCTTCATGATATCTGAAACCTTTCAGCTGTTTAGCTGTGCAGCAATTTAGTTTCCAAATAAACAGATTTACTCCAATAATCCCAGTAGAAGTCAGGGAAAACATTACCACAGTTAAAGGGAAAGGTTGCTGCCTTGATCTGCTAACAGAAAATGTTCTGTTACACATAACATAGAAGAAACATAACATAAGAAACATAACACAAGAAATCCAATACTGTTTTAGATATCACATGAATTTTGTTCAAGATAAAAGGAGCTGGCATTAAAGTTACCTTCATGTTGGTATATGATTGCGTTGATTAAGTGTTCAGTATGATACTTTGTGACTTTTTTATTTGACTTGTCAATGTTTTAAATGGATTGTTGTGAAGCACTTTGTTACCATGTATCAAAAAGTGCTATACAAATAATAATAATAATAATAATAATAATAATAATAAATTATTATTATTATTATTATTTATTATTATTATTATTAGTAGTAGTAGTAGTAGTAGTAGTAGTAAAAATAAAAGTGTCTTTGAGTTTGTCATAACAGCCATTGTTCTTCAATATTTCTCACTTATTAACATTCTATGTTTTTTTTGTATACTTTTGCATTTGCTGATTAATCTACATTATTATTTTGCCCTTAACCGTGCTAAATCAGCTGTGCTGATTTTCATAAATAAACGTAATAAGAGATAAGATGAAGAATTTTATTGTCACAACACACAACACAACAATGTCAGGATTCAGAGATTTTTTTCCCACGGATGTATTTTGAACGCTATTACGTAACTCTACGTTCAACGTAATTACGCATTTCCTTACGTCATGTCGTTGCCTGCCCAGTCAAGGCACACAAGGTCGTCGCAAAAGTAGTTCGGCGAAAACATGATGTCCCTTGCTGCCCGGTCAGGGGCATTTTCCCCTTACATGCAGGCTACGGCTTTTGCGGTTGCTGGTCCCCTGAAAGCTCTGGTACCTGGTGTTGTTGTAAAGGGAGAGAAGATTTTGTTAAACCCGAAAAAACAGTTCCTGTGCCGCGAATCGCTGAACGGTCAAAGCCCAAAGACAGGGCCTGCTGTGACGGTTAGCATCAATGGTAAGTCTGTCATTGAGTGCTAGCGTTAGCTTGCTATGTCAACTTTCTGTTTTAACATGTGCATTGACTCTCAATGTCGAATACAATGGGCTATCTGTGTACTGAAAAGTCACATTTATCATCGATAAACACAACCCAGTGAATAGATCGTAACTTAGTTAGCTTAAGTTAGTTAATGTTAACAGCCGGCTTTTCCAGGTTGTTAGCTAACACTCGCTTAGCCTGGGTGGCTGAAGAGCGGCCTACACCTGAGGTCAACATCTAGCATAGATAACGTCGGTCTTATTCCGTGAGTTTGCGGCTGACAGCATCTTTGTGGGTTGGAACATACTGAACTTGGACAGTCTGCCTCCACCGACCTTATCAACCAGCGTTAGCCGTTTCAAAGACATTATCAGTGTTGGGTTCCTTCAATGTCCCCATGTCACCACTGTGACTTGATTAGTATTAACATTAGACTTAGTATGTTTTGCAAGTGTGCACCCATGTTTTCCGTGTAAATTAGGCGCATAAAGCTGTTCACGTGTTATTCACCTGTCCAGTATTTTACAAACGCTGCAGTCATGGCTGTCATCAGACCAGATTTTACTGTCGTCTAACTGTGTTAGCCAGAGGGATCTCTGGCAGCACACTTTTTTCATCTACTCTGCCCAGTGTGTCCTTTCAGAGTGTCTTTTTGACGCTTTGTCTCACTAACTACATTACATGTAAGTTTTCCAGCAGCCAGCCACCATAAGGCTTTATTACGAAGCAGCTAAATGTTAACTCATCAGTGTATAAAAATGGGTCTAAATACACGTTTGGCACGTTTTGTTTAAGGGTGGATAATTTCTAAAAGTTACAAGGAGAAATATATAGAATGCTACAGTGTGCTGACTGAGGAGATGAAGAGGAAGCAACAGGCTCTGACTGCAAGTCAAATCACCTGCCATATAAAAAGCGGCACAAAATTTGCACCAGCCAAGTGCTGGTAAAATATGCAAGTGTCTGATAGATTTCACTCACCAGCCAACAAACAATGGTACTCTATTGAATGGCTGGTAAAATTGGAACAATCACTAACCATTTGGCTTGTGGACAAAAAAGTTCATTTTGCACCCTGGGAAAAACCTTTTTATAAACCTTCTTGAACAGTATAAGTAGAATTTGGAACAGATTTCTTGGTATAATCTGATGAATCCTTTTTATACAAATCAGTCAGGTGTTACACTGCAGTGTGCACATCCAGCTGCATCTCAGCTCAGTCACAGCTGCGTCGTGGTTTTAATGTCCACTGAAAGGTTTCAAAAGTGGAGCATTTGTTCCTCAGGGGAAACATTATATAGTTTTGATTGTTTTATAGATGAGTTTTATGTTTTAGCTTATTTAGATGCTTTGTTGCTGTACTTGAATAGGACAACTTTTGTTGCTTCTAACTTTCTCTGTCATTTTAAATGTCAGCACAGCTGCTGTCATTAAGCTGTATTCTTGTTTATATTGTCTGACGAAGTCGTGATCGTATAATTATATCTGCAGCTCGGTAATGACTGCATGTCAGTATTTTGCCATCACACTTCATCCTTGTTCAGTTGTCTGACAACAGAAGCAGAAACATCTGTAAATGAGAACAACTAGGCCCACATGTAGAATTGAGCTGCATTTGAATGCTGTGTGCGTGACCACAGAGCAGGAGACTGACCACCTCCCTCACTTTTCTCCTTCTCTCTCTCTCTTAAACTACAAACATGAGAAAAGTAGTCAGAGAATAAAATGCATCCATTAAAAAGGAATTTGAAGTCAAGTAGTAACGAGTCACTATCAGGCGTTGGTAAAACGTACGTGTGGCGCGTTCAGTTTGGCTACAGCGCTGAGAGACGGGCTGGATGCTCAGGTGGCAGCCTGATAGTGTTAAGGGTGTGTATTGTGTTTGCAGCTGCAGAAGTAATAAAGTTCCTGTTTACAGTAATGCTGCAATGATTATCAATTAGTTGTCAACTTTTAAAATAATTGCCTACTATTTTGATTAATCGGTTTGAATCGTTTTGAAAGAACCAGCTTCTTAAATGTGAATATTTTCTGGTTTCTTTACTCCTCCCTGACAGTACACTGAATATCTTTGTTGTGGACAAAACAAGACATTTGAAGATATCATCTTGGGTTAGGGAAACACTGTTCAACATTTTTCATCATTTACTGACCAAACAACTAATTGATTATTGGAGAAAAGTAATCGACGATTAATTGCCACTGCCAATAATTGTTGTTGTTGTTGCAGCCCTGTACACATCACTTCAACATGTTCATACAGCCGAACATTTTAGGTTAGTTTGTGTAATTTCTAATTATACTTTGAACTTTATTGATCCCGGAGGGGATGTTGCAGCAGCAAAATTCACACAGATGACAAAAACTTAGACCAGACCATAATGTACAAAATTTATGTTAAAAAATATATTTACAAATCTAAGATGTGTATATTGTGCAAATTCAGGATGTGCAATTTAGTGTCACTCTCTAATATTGAGAGTGTCTAGTATGAAGTAGGTGTATGCAATGTGATGTCCTTTATCATTCACGTGTTGTTCGGTCTCCTCTCCCTGCTTAGAGGGGAGCTGTTGTCTATTGTAATGGCACCTGTCTCAGTCCATGCTATAGTGAGATGTGGGAGGTTTTTAAAGTGCAGTGGGAATGGTTTTTTTACGGTACAAAATTAAATTTTTTCTTGCTACCATCCTTCGTCAGCAGAACGGTGCGGACTGTTAGGTACCAGCTCTACGTACTTTACTAAGTAAACCGTACTTCCTCCTGCGGTAGCACAACGCCGCAACTTAGTGTGGAGAAAGGTCTGACATTACAGCTAAGAGCCAGGCTAAATTAGTGTAAGAAACCAGTGCACTCCCAAATATAGTTTCAGGGCCAAACAGCTGGAAGATAATGCAGGTGTCAGCATATTACAAATCTACAACAACTAATCACAATGACACTTGTTTTATCTTGTGTTAAATCCAGCGGAGCCTTTCCTCACGGCACCTCACGATTCGATTACGATTCAGAGAGCTGCGATACGGTTATAAAACGATTATCGATGTATCTTGATGCATCATTTTTTCTATATGGAATCTCTGGATAATTACTAAGCATTTAATTTGTGCATTAACATCCAAAAGATAAATCTCTTAGCTTAAAGGGACTAGTTTGCATCCCTAATGTACTTCACTCACCTCAGCTCCATGGTCACCACCTTCATTTCTTTAACAACCAGTTGTCAGACTCCTGAAAACTGAAATATAATTATCAGGATGTACAGTATGTGTACAGAACAGAGCTGCATGCCAGTTTAGTCTGAGCTTGTACCTGATGATCTCAACCATTGCTAAGTAGGTATGTTAGTAATGACATACAGCTAATTAATATTACATTGTTTCTAATTTAGCCAATGTTGCATAACAGCCAAAACGTGCTGTACAGGGGAGATGTTAGCTAGCGCTTACAGCCTTCACTTGTCCAGCAGTTTGGGAAACTACAGACTTTTATTAACAGACACACTGTTACTTACACTGCACGTTTGCTACCAGACAGAAACTTAGTGCATATATTTTTTCACCGTCATGTTCTGCTGCTTGCTCGCTCTCATTCAACCTCACACACCAGATACGCAGCAGTGTAGGGGCTTCTCATGCTGCCTGTTTTTTATATTAATGTCTACAGATAAATGTCAGAAGCTGTAAAATGAAGACACAAAAGGCAAACATGAACAGTCGTATCTACAATGAT